AGAGCCTTATGCCGTTTTGGCGGACTTATGCCATCCAGTCAATCCAGATGTGAAGGAATTGGATGCTCTAAGCACCATTCTGAAGGATTACTATGAACCAACCCCTCTGATAATAGCTGAACGATTTAAGTTTCATAAAAGGGACCAACTGAAGAGTGAATCGGTGAGTGAATTTTCAGTTGTGTTGAGGAATTTATCCAAGACTTGTGAATTTGGTGAATTCTTACAAGAGGATCTGAGGGACCGCTTCGTTTGTGGCTTACAAAGTGAGGCAATTCAGCGAAAGTTGCTAACTGAGAGGGGTTTGACTTTTCATACGGCTTATACCACCGCTATTGGCATGGAAATGGCACAGAGGAACATAAAAACATTTCATGTACCCGCAACTTCAACAGACATTAACGCAGTCACATCTACAACATGTTTTTGATGTGATGGAACGCATGCAGCCAACACTTGTCGCTTTAAAGACTCCAAATGTCGTTTTTGTTTGAAAACAGGCCACATTGAACAGGCTTGTTTCAAGAAAAAATCTGGTAAGGGTAAACAGAAATCGAAGGCCCGTAAACCATTTCGCAAGACTGTGAAAAACTTGAAAGCTGTAAATGAGGACTTTGACTCTGATAAAGATGATTTGAATCTATATCTACTATATACGCAAAATGCACAGGGTCGCCAGGACGATTCGTTCATCGTGAACCTTCACATTGATGACCAACCAATACAGATGGCTATTGACACTGGTGCTGATGTATCCGTTGTGTCAGAGGTGTTTTACCGGAAACATCTTCCACATCTACCCTTACAACGATGCTCTCGCAAGGTGAAGGCCTATGGTGGTGGTGCCATTCCATCGGTGGGTCAAGTGGAGGCCCCAGTTATATAATCAGGTGTCCACCAAACTCCCTCTATTGGTAGTTAAGGGAAACAATCCTGCTTTGGTTGGGAAAAATTGGCTCAAGTCAATTAAATTGGATTGGGGTTCAATTTTATCTGCTCATCAAGGGGGGTCCTCAAAGGGTAAATGTTCTCCCAGGGACAAAGTAGATTCTGTCGAATCTGAAGGGGTGACAAATGAGAATATAAAACTCAAGTCAGTTCTCTCTAGGCATGAAGCTGTATTTACAAAGGGTGGTACAATTAAGAACTACACTGCACATTTGCGCATCAAAGAAAATGCTACTCCAATATTTCATAAACCGCGCAAGTTAGCCTATGCTATGAGATCGGTAGTTGAAAAAGAACTCGATAGATTAACTGAACAAGGTGTGCTCAAACCAGTTGACTATTCGGAATGGGGTTCTCCCCTAGTTAATATTCAAAAGACCGATGGTAGTATTCGCATGTGTGGAGATTACAAGGTCAGTATTAACCAAGCTCTACATGAAGAGCAATACCCCCTTCCAACTGCCCAAGATTTGTTCACAACTTTTTCAGGTGGCAAAGTGTATAGCAAAATTGACCTCGCTCAAGCATATTTGCAATTACAGTTAGATGAAGAGTCAAAACACTATTTGATGCTAAGTACTCACAAGGGTCTTTTTGAACCGCAGCGTTTACAGTTTGGGGTTTCAGCAGCGCCATCTATTTTTCAGAGAGTAATGGAATCAATGTTACGCGGAATACCTGGCGTATGCGTTTTTCTCGATGACATTTGCATTGCGTCAGGCTCTGTTTCCGTTCACTTGAAAACCTTAGAAAAGGTGCTCTCAGTACTTGAAAAACATGGTGTTCGTGCAAAACTGAGTAAATGTGAATTCCTCAAATCTTCTTAGGGCATATTGTAGATAGTGACGGAATCAGACCCACAGAAGATAAACTCAAGGCAATTCGCGACTGTCCGCGTCCTAAAAATCTCAAAGATTTACAAGCGTTTTTGGGTCTAGTCCAATTTTACGCGAAGTTCATGACAAAAGAAAATGTTGACTTGTCTACAGTCTTACATCCAGTTCACCTCCTTCTCCAGAAAGATGCCGAGTTGAAGTGGACTGTTCAATGTCAGAGCGCTTTCAACAAGTGTAAGAACTTATGTACATCGGACAGTGTGTTAATTCATTACGACTCCTCAAAGGAAGTGTACTTATCGTGCGATGCATCTTTGGTGGGAATAGGAAGTATTATCTCACATAAAGTCGAGGGTGAAGAACGAATAATTAGCACGTGTTCGCGAAAATTAACCTCAAGTGAAGTGAACTAAAGTCAAATTGAAAAAGAGGCTCTATCAATTGTTCATGCCGTCAGGAAGTTCCATCAGTACTTATATGGCCGAGAATTCACAATCATCACGGATCATAAACCTTTGACTAAAATATTTGGTCCCAAAACAGGCATTCCTGTGATGGTTTCCGCTCGATTACAGCGTTGGGCACTTTTGTTGTCTGCCTATAAGTACAAAGTGATATTCCGCAGTTCTGGTGACCATGGCAATGCAGATTACCTATCGCGCCTTCCATTAGAAATTCCAGCTAATGAGTCTACAGAAAATGCAATTTTCAAAATCTCGGAAATTGAATCTATTCCTGTCAAAGCTCGGGATATTGCGGAACAAACCAAGAAAGATACTACATTGAATCAAGTGTATCAGTATACGCTCAGTGGTTGGCCGAACTTTTGCCCAGATGAAAATTTACGGCCTTACTTCTTGCAAAAAGATGAATTAGCGGTAGACCAAGGTTGTGTATTATGGGGTTTGCGAGTTATTGTTCCTCCGGCATTTCGTGAAACTATTCTCAATGAATTACATATTGAACATCCGGGTATTTCTCGAATGAA